GTGAAGGGTTATATTGCGCGCCATAACACAACCTTCAAATTACCAGACGTTAAGGTTTTACTTGAGACTTCCATACAGCTAGTAACGCCCGAAGCTTGGCAGAATGCTATCCGTCATGTTGTGAAGGAAGAAACAAAAATGTGGCAGCTTAACCACCACATCGACACCATCATAGAGCCAGTTATAGTCAATTTCAACGAGGAAAGCAATAGCGACAGTTTATTACTGTCAGATGTAAGTGGAAGCGACGATGAATAAAGGTAATTCCCAAATTTTTGACTTACAATATGTTTCAAACCACTCTTTATTAAGCATGTGACAAATCTAGTTCACCCTAGTTAAACATTCATACCCCGCCTATGAACAGCCGACTACTGGTAGTTAAGTGATGTTCACGTGAACATCGATGAGTCATTACAGTTTTAGATAGTTATAGTATAACAGTCGTACTGCTACCAGCACGCTCTCAGATGTGCGTGACTATCAAATTAGAAAATTCTCACCAATCTACAGCAAAATATTTCACAGTGGCAACACCGCTACGCCCACGCCACCTAGAAACAGCATCCCTTCCTTTCTCAAACGCCGCGTGCTGCTATCTCGCGCGCCGCCGATTCTGCTCCTATCCTTGTCTGACTCACGTTGCTTGTACCTCCCTACCTCGTTTTACCCTCGCTGCGCGGTAAGCTCGCCAACGCTCGACTGCACGACTTGTTCACGTGAATACCGCCTGGAAAGGTTTTCCACGCTACGCCAGTACTGCTCCTCCAGTATACAGGGTGTAAACGTTATGATAATCTGTATTTAAATGGGTGACAGAAGGGGTTTAAAGAAGCAAAAAGTTTCATGTAACATGGGGGTCAAAACGGCAGTTTTTTAGAGAAAAGCGATTTTAAAGGCTTCGTTCCAACAAAGCCGTGTACCGTACAGTGAACCGTCATGAGCGTGCGCAGTACGTTTTTAGTGTCACTTAAAACGTACTGCGCAGGCTCTTTATGATTTACTGTACGGTACACGGCTTTGTTGGAACGAAGCCAAAGTAAAACAAAAACTGACAACGCCGCAGTGCCAGATGCAAATTACGACGGAACACAGTGTAAATAAAAATGGAGTTTGTTATTTTTGGCTCTTAGGTATTATTTCATAATTTGATAATGTACTCGTAAAATACAAACAATTAAAAAAACGGACTTACCACTAACTGTCTCAGCGCTTCACTTGGTGTGTGAAAGTTTATTGAACGAATTAAAAAAATCCACTTATAAATAGGGAACACAATTTTGATATATTGTTTTTCTTTTTAAAACCTACACTGCACTTTTTTTTGTATTGAAAGAAGGTGTTCAAAATGTCGTCCTCCAATTTCCACACAAGCTTCATTACGACGAACCCAGTTTCTTCTTACTCTAGGTCCTCGAAGTTGTCCATTTATTATTTCAGCCGCATTAAATTTTTTTTAGCGACGTTGTGCTTCAGTTGTTATTGGACCAGCCCCATAAACCATCACTTTAGGTTCTCCCCAATACCAGAAATCTATCGGATTGAGGTCAGGAGATCTTGCTGGACATTTTCGAGGATTAGGAGCATTTCGACCGATCCAGCGATTTGGATAACGTTCATTCAAATACCGAATGACGCCTCTAACAATATGTGGTGGTGCCCCGTCATGAAGAAATCACAATTTCTGTCTCCGTTGTAATGGCATGCTGTCTGAGGTCTGTTCCAAAAGTTCTGGCAGGTTATTGGTAGAAAGCTAGGGTGTCCTTCTCCTGGCAACTTTGGGGGTAACTCGGAAGGGCCAATTATCTGATCGTCAAGAATACCCGCACAAATATAATTTTAAAACGTTGTTAGAAATGACCTTCACGGATGGTATGAGGATTTTCTTGGACCCACGTGTGAGTATTATGGAAATATCCCGTCTCGCGTAAAAGTACATTCGTCCGTCGTTTTTAAAAAATCCGGATTTTCAATGTTTTTGTGCAAAAACAACTGACAGAATGTTTGTCTATGGACTATGGTATGCGATAGTCCTACGCGGCGGCCTAATTCCCGAGTGCTGATATCTGCATTGATTTCCACGATATTTAAAATTTGTTCCTCCTGCTCTATAGTAACCTGTCTTTCACGAGTGCGAATATTAGCGGGCTGAACACTTGCTGTATCTCGAAGTCTTTGGTACACTTGCACAAATGTCCTTCTGTCTGGGTGTGTACCTGTTGGCGAATTCTGTCGCGATAAATTTGAGCTGCAGGACTTGAATTCTGACGAGCTTCATCGTAAACTAACAGCATGTCGGCAAACTTTTGATTCAAGAACATTGTAAGTAAACACGACGACGTACGTGAACAAAAACAAAACAACATACTAACCACTGTTACCGTTTGCGATCGATTGCCGGTTCGATAAGAGTGAGAAAGACCGACGCGCTGTTGTCATGTGTGTTTTAAATATTCAATTTAATGAAACTTGCTTACTGACTACAAATTTTGGCTTAACTTAGAAAAACTTAATGCCATTTATTTGTTAATTACCCAATTTAAACATGTTTTAGATTAGATTATAAAAATTAGTAAGATTGTGGTGATTGTAGTCGATATAAAGCACTTAAAGTTGTAAACTATAAAATCATTTAGACAAAAATCTATTGACTTTTGGACCATGGGTCATATGAACTTTTTAACTTGCTTTGACCCCCCTATTACCCATTTCAATAAGGACTTGGTAGTCATAACGTTTACACCCTGTATACCTGTCGGCACAACTTCCACAATCGATTAAAACGCCGAAAAGTCACTATTTCACGTTCTGTCTCTCAAAATCACCGAAATCTCACGTCCCCGTTGCGGCGCCAAAAGTTGCAATGGGCTGCCTATTATACCAATCGACAGAGGGTGACTTCTCGATCAGTAAATAACGGTAGATTGAGATCTCACAAAAACAGCAATTCTAAGCAAAACTTAAAAAGAATACATGAGTCGCGACCCTGCGCCCGACGCATGTCCAGGATCGACGGCTGCCCAAATCCTCACATAGTTGTCAAGCGTCCCTTGCACATTCACCTTATCGTCGCACACATCACTAAACCACCACAGCCTTTGATGCAAATCTCTCAGGATTGAATTAGAAAAGGTAACCCTAAAATGTCAATATGTTCCATCAATCCAACAATTCCGTTTTTTCGTGAATACTATTCGTCAGTTGTTTGTCTGGGCGGTCCGTAGTACCTTTGCCCATTTTTGTCACTGTCTAATGTACGTTAGTTGAATCTGTCAGTCCTGGTTGCCTAGAAACCAGACAATGTCAAGGAAAAAGAAGAAGGGAACGAAAGAAGAGCAAAGAAAAACAGAAGTGTATTAGTTTAAAAGGAAACGCTTAGGCTTTTTGACTTGGTGCGCGGATTAATTTTGAGGAGAACTAAAATTACATTTTGATTCAGGTTTTATTAGAGTGTAATTTTGGGGTCACTAAAAGTTCGCGATAAGTTGTTGATCACAGTGCGAGCCGTGGCCTTGAATCTTTACGGACTTCCTCCACTGTGTAGTCCACTGAGTCACGCAACAGAGGGTTGCTGTGCGATTCCCCGCTTGGCTAATTTTTCGTGAATATAGATGTCCCCAAAGAACCATTACTGTTATTACATAAAAAACGTATATAATGTCAAAAAAATCAGTGTCAACTTATACATTAGTAGGCGCTAGTGTATCGCTAGTTCATTTCGCGTCTACTACAAATGGCCATAAAGTAAATGTCTGCTAGGTTCAAAGGTGATATTTTACAAGAAAACCCTACATAATGTAACATCTGAAACTTATCCTGTGGTTTTCATGTCGATAATGATTCGCTTTAGTACTATTTCTCGTGTTCCAGATCAATAAAAAACAAGTGCTTTACGACAACAATTCTGGGTGGAAATAAATACCGAAACGAAGTGTCACCTGGAAAATAGATAAATAAAATATATTGGCAAAGTCATTGTACTGACGAAGGTCACCGTTGCGACCAAAACATTTATAATAAAGAAGATTTTTTCAATACATGTGGTTTCGATTGTCCAGAGAAATATGGAGAACAACCTACGTAATGGTATAAAAATAATCGATATAATGTCTCTTTTTAAGTCACGTAATATGGGCGCCGCACGGATATCACGTAAAAAACCTACAAAACGTCAAAAAAACCTATAAGATGTCAACTCGCACACTAGGTAGTTTTTAGGGCGCAAACAGTCATTCCACGTTTGCTCACTAGGATCGTTGTGAACGTCCATCTATGGAGGAATCTCTCAACTAAACTACACGCATTATTGGTTGCATAGTTTTGTGAGGCTGAGTGATCCGTATCTGTACATTTTATCTCTGAGAAGAATGTTGGTTGAATAGCAAGATGGCATCTGGATGATTATGTGTATTGGTCTGCATGTGTATACAATCAGTGATATTTGCTGTGTGAGAAAATCATTACTGAATATGCTGGTCATTTATATATTGTGCTTTCTGAAGCAAAGTTATAAATTACGAAAAACTGAGGAGAATTACGGGAAATCATCACCGCGCCCGCGTTGTGTGTAATTACTGTTAGCATGTATATGGCTTGTACTTCGATAGTGTACAGTGAATATAATTATTTCTGATCTCTCTCATTTTTGAAATTCAGCAAACTTGTATAATATGTAATTTCCAGAATGTAGGTATAAGAAAAAGTGGCTAGCAACTAATTTCTAGCTTTGAATCTAGATTAAGTGTATTTGAGACAAGAATCCAATGGAATTATCATCAACACATACAACTTACAGCTTAGACCTTAGACCTGCAGTAATGCCATCTCTGCAGCAGATTCTACATAACATTGATAACTAAGGCCTCATGACGTTTAGGCAACAAGTATAACTAAGTGCTAAGTTAACATCTTGTAGAAAAACCTACATAATGTCAAAAAAATCAGTATAAAGTCAAACAAAAATTCACTTTTTATTTAAGATACATGATACCCGTGCCGATCTCGGCTCTGTATTTTATGTAGTCAGTGGCATTTATGTCAAGCGAGTGTCAATCATTAACTTTGAATTGAGGTTGTATTGTTATGAAAATAATTCATTTTACAAAACATACGATAGCTTATGAGACCAATTTATTCATACTGGACGAGCAGAACCATTCCCAAAATCTGATATCTCATCACCGGCCCCCAAGTCGCCAGAACAAAATGATAAGAGCAAAAAATACGACCGGCAATGGAGGTATATTATTTTTTGAATTAAATATATAATGTTCCTTTTCCAGACTTTGGGGCGACCATGGCCAAACATTATCAGGAAACGCAAAAGTATGCCTGATAAACGCGACTGCTTTGGGTACTGAAGTCCTGAAAATTACTGAAGGGGATATTGGCTCTAAGTAAGACAAGCCCCATTTGGTTTTGAAATTGATTGCTGATGAAGCTTCCCAGTTTCTTTTTAGCGAATAACAGTGTTGACCCAAGTTGCAGCCCAGTGCTTTCTAAAACTGATGTAAGGGGTGACTACATTGATGAGTCTGCTGAACATACACTCACTAATACTCAAGATTTTTTTAAGAATTTCACTGTCTTATCTGAAAAGTAAGTTGTCCCAAGTTATATAATAATAAAGATAAGTATTTTTGATGCATTTGTTTAACCCTTCCAAATGGTAAAAATACCATGGAAGTATCGTTGACGAATGTTTTGGGAAGATTGTAGTATAATGACATCCTCAGTATTTGAATGTTTGTAAAAATTGGGAAATATGCTCTAGTAAGCATGGCAACATTGTAATTTACACAATTTACTGGACTTTAATCTATATCAAGATTATAATCTTGATATAGGTAAAAAATTGGCAACTATTATTATACAACACTTTGATCCAGTTGTACAAAGTTCTCACCAACCTCACCATGGCCCTCAGAAATTTGAGAAGATTGCAGCAGCTTAATATTGCTTATTTCAAGCAGTACAGTTCTGTATCCAAACTTGTTTCCTTGACCGTAGATGACAAAACTGGTGTTTCAGTGTTGAGTTTACAACGTCCCCCAGTGAACAGTCTTAACTTAGAACTTTTGAGTGATATTCATAATGCTTTAACTGAAGCTGAGAAGAATAAAAGCAGAGGTGTGATTCTAACATCGCAGAAAGATGGAGTATTTTCTGCAGGTCTGGATATCATGGAAATGTATAAGCCTGATCAGGATCGGATTAAGACGTTCTGGACTACTTTGCAAGATTGCTGGATCAAGCTTTATGGATGCCTATATCCTACAGTTGCTGTGATTAATGGCCACTCTCCAGCAGGGGGTTGCCTGCTTGCAATGTCCTGTGAATATAGAATAATGCAGACCAACTACACAATTGGCTTGAATGAGACTCTTCTAGGTATTGTAGCACCTCCATGGTTCATATCTACTATGAAAAACCTCATTGGCCACAGAGAGTCCGAGCTAGCTTTGACCCAAGGCAAGCTGTTTACCTCTGATGAAGCACTGAAGATAGGGCTTGTTGATGAAATCATGCATAGCAAAGATGAAGGAATAAAGAAGGCAAATGCATTCATGGCTAAATTTGCTAAGATTTCTCCAATAACAAGAAGCTTGACCAAGCAATCTGTTAGGGGACCAACTATTCAAGATATGATAAAAAATAGGCAAGCTGACCTTGAACATTTCTTGCAATTTACAAACAATCCCCAAGTACAACAGTCACTAGGCATGTATTTAGAGATGCTGAAAAAGAAGGGAGGAAAATGATTGTCACAGATTAGATTTTCAGCACTATTTAATGCCAATTGTTTGAGGAACAATAGCATAGCATTGAATTTTATAGTAGTAAGTTTTACATTTTTTTCACTATTGTCTGAATTTTGTACATTAAATCATAAAGATAACTAATTATATTTGTTAATAACTTTGTGTAATTACTCATTTAATTGAATAATGCAATTGTACATGGATTGGGTTACATTGATAATAAAGTAAAAAATTTATTTGGATTTTTTCTACAAATCCCTGCACTGATTGCATAACAGGGATCTTGAACTTCAACCTATAAGAACTTTGTTATTTTGAAATTCCTATGTACCACAATATTGAAAAATCATGATTTTTGTGGAGAAAACTTTTCAACGAGGGATTTGGCATTTGAGCTAAAACGTATAATAAACAAGTTAACCCTTATTCAAGTTAGTTTTCCTAAATGAGTATCCCTTGAGTGCCTTCTTGAAAATTTCCATATTTAGTGACTTCACTGATTCAGGTAAAATGATGTAAAACTTAATATCATAGTACTTAGGCCCATCTCGGGCTATCTGCACCACACTATATGGAGCTACCAAATTATTAATCAAATCTGGTTTGGTAACTATGGAAGTCTAAGTTTCCACTGTAGTTGCTTATATTTCCCCTGACATAGACAAGATATTCCACGGTATATAGTATACATCCTAGTCCTGCTATCACTCTCACGCACAACAGTAATCATTAAACCATATTGGAGTGAACGTAGCTACGAGGAATGTCTTTTAAGTTTTGCATATGGAAATAAAAGAGCACGGTAGGTAGTTTTAAATGACTTTATTGTTTTTCGAAGTATTCTCCACGAAGATTAATACACATCTGCATGCGCTCGAACCAATTTTCGAAGCACTTGTTCCACTCGATGCTGGCAGATCCAAAACGGCATTTTTGAATGCGCCAACTGCTTCTTCTGGTGGCTGGAGCCTTTGACCACGCAGCCTTGGTTTTTGGGCTGTGTGCGAGCTTGCATTGTCTTGGTGGAGGATGATTCTTCTTTCGGGGTTGATTTTTCGAAGCTCGGTGATGACTTTCGGCAAACAAATGGTGGTATACCAATCCGCAGAAACAGTTCTTTGCTCAATAAGAGGAATTGTTGCAATATGATCTGCTTTTGACACAAATGTCGCGACCATCTTTTTCGAAACACTTCGAGAACGGATGAGCTTTGTTGTCACTGTAGTGAGAACACGTATTGTTGTGAAACTTTTACTAAAGACTGAGGTTAAGATTCAGTACTGACGTTCGATCCGCGCGGCCTACTATGTTTCTATATGCAAAACTTAAAACACATCCCTCGTATTATAGGAAAAATAAAAAATCACGGTTTACAGTAATAATTTTTAGCTGCCACTACCTCACTAAGTAGTACATGACTCAAGTATTAAAGAAGTGTAAGTGGTAACCCTGGCTAGGTAATGCTTACTTAGCAGCAAGACTTGATGTGTAACATCCGCTTCACAAACACATGTTGGTAGACAGGAGGCACCAAACCAGCTACCAGTGTTGCCATTTACACTGATTTATATTCTCTTTTTATACATGGTGTTCCAAAAGTCGACGTTAACCCGGAAAGTGAGGATAGACCAAGTCATAATAGTTATCAGAAAATATATACAAAAATCTGCACCCTGTGATGTGTTGAAGTATCATTCTGTGTAGTGACAGTGTCAGTCAAGGTAGTGACACCAAGACAGGTAGTAACGCCACTTTTACCAAGTCATGATTGTTTCGTGCCACCATGTGCACAGGAATATGCCAATATGGACTTCATTTATGTATGTAGATGTATAACTATATAACTATCTAAAACTGTAATGACTCATCGATGTTCACGTGAACATCGCTTAACTACCAGTAGTAGGCTGTTCATAGGCGGGGTATGAATGTTTAACTAGGGTGAACTAGATTTGTCACATGCTTAATAAAGAGTGGTTTGAAACATATTGTACGTCAAAAATTTGGGAATTGCCTTTATTCATCGTCGCTTCCACTTACATCTGACAGTAATAAACTGTCGCTATCGCTTTTCTCGTTGAAATTGACTATAACTGGCTCTATGATGGTGTCGATGTGGTAGTCAAGCTGCCACATTTTTGTTTCTTCCTTCACAACATGACGGATAGCATTCTGCCAAGCTTCGGGCGTTACTAGCTGTATGGAAGTCTCAAGTAAAACCTTAACGTCTGGTAATTTGAAGGTTGTGTTATGGCGCGCAATATAACCCTTCACTTGAGCCCAGATGAGCTCTATTGGGTTCAGTTCACAGTGGTAGGGCGGTAACCGCAGCACAGTGACACCACATTGACGGGCCATCTCATCAGTCACGTAACTAATGTTCGCAGGTTTGTGCTGTTTAATTTTATCATACAATTCCGCTTTCACACATGAATCGTCAAACGGGATTCCTTTTTCGCGCAACCATTGCTGCATGTCACTTTTTCGAGATCCCATAGTCGGTACACGTTCGGCTCGACGACTATGGTAGGAAGCATTATCCATGACGATCACAGAGTTGGGCTCAACTCGCTGAAGCACCCCTTGAAACCAGCTCTCGAAGCAGCTGGCATTCATTTCGTCATGGTAATCACCTCCTTTTTTAGAGACGAAAATCAAGTCACACTCTTCTAAAAAGCCACTATTGCTACCAATATGAGTTACGATCAATCTTTGACCTTTCCCTGCCGGTCCACCAAGACCTGTTGACAAACCTTCAATGCTTGCTTGTCGGTTGCTCACTACGTTTTTGTCTATCCAGGTTTTTTTAACTGTGTGACCTGCATTTACCCATGTCTCGTCCAAGTAATAGATTTTTCTGCTTTGTCGCCTATGTTCAATCATTTCGCGTAGGTATTTTCAACGCCAGGCGACTATTTCAGGTCTCTCTATCAATACTGACTTCCAATTACGCGTTTCGAAACGAAAATTAATTTCGTGCAGGGATTTCCTCATTACCTCGACGCTCATTTGGGGTATAATTTCATTTTCCTTGATCGCTGCATGTACAGCCTTGAGGATTGGTATCTCATTCCTAAAGAAGAATGAATGTACGGTTCGCCTTAACGCCATTTTGCTATCGTCATCCAATTTAACGGCCTTTCGTCCCTTCAAATTAAACTTTGGATCAGTAGTAGCTCCAGTTTTCTTCTTTTCATGCACCACCCTGCGAATGGTCCACTCTGGAACGCCTGTCATACTTTCACAACGCGCGAGTGCATCTCCCTGCGACATAGTTCTGTTCAGATAATTGAACACGTTGAGCACGATTTCTTTCGCGTCCCTCTTCAGTGCTTTACGAAGCCGTCTACTTGTTCCCTGGCTTTCAATACTTCCACTCGTGCCATTTGTACTCTCCATGGTTAAGTATAACCAAAACAGTAACCACAGAAACCACAACAATAACAATCACACAACAATTCTTATAAAAACACACAATATGCGATCGCTCAACGAAACACGTTCCAATGCGTTGCCGACGCCTATGAGTCTGCCGGTCTGGGCGCGTCTTTGATTTCATTGGTTCTACCGGCGGAGAACAATCAGCCATTATTTCCATCTCTGTCTGTGCTGTTGACCACCGCAAAGCCACAGAAACGGTATATGTCGTACGCTATACGGCTGTACTGGAAGGAAGCCGGGATCGAGCTCTGATCACGTGTTGATCACGCGTATGAGTCATTACAGTTTTAAATAGTTGTAGTATAGTACTGCAGCTAGGCTTTATGGTGAGAGGTACTCAAATGCTGGTCGTCATCCCGTTCACCGAGTTTTCGTGAGTGTGCACCGTTTACTCTCAGAGGGACGATTCCCAAACTAAGCACATGGTGAAGGAAGAATTTCATTTCCTTACGAGGACGTCGTACTATAAGCAGTCAAAGAAGACCCGAATGCTTCAGAACCTCAAATAGAAGCAAGCATGGGAGTGGCCGAAAGTACGAGCTGCACCCGTACCGCGTGTAGCGAATACAATCTCTACACCTCCGGGATTATCTTCGAAGATTTGAATTTTGTCAAAATGGGTGAATCTAAACAACGAGTGGCAAGTGGAAAATCCAAGTTTGATGCCGAGATAGGTCACAGTATCGTTTTAAACATGTGGACCCGGTTTGTAAATGGGAGTTGCCAGAGCTCTTGAATGGCAAAATGTATTTAGACTTTTGCAAAATCATTTACCAAATTAATTGGAAGACATGCACAGAGACATGTACCAGCAAGACGGCTGCCCGGCGGCCTTTGCCCGTTCAGTTTGAGAATATCTTGATGCGGAATACCCGAGCAGATGGATAGGGTGGTCTGATACAATTTCGTGGCCAGCCCGTTCACCTTAAATACACTTGATTTTTTTACTGCGGAGCGGTGCAAGAAAAAGTTTACTCAAAACCAATCGAAAATTTAGCTGAGCTATTGGACATAGCCGCACGGGTATTACGTATCTTAAAAAGTGACATTTTTTTGACATTGTATTGTTTTTTTGTGACATTATGTAGGTTTTTCTACAAGATGTTAACTTAGCACTAGCTGATGGACTCGTGAACTCGTGAACGTCATGATGCTTCAGTTATCAATATTTGGCTCTAATGTGATGTAAAATCTGCTTCAGAGATGGCATTACTGGAGGTCTAAGCTGTAAGTTGTACACTATACAGGGTGTCCGCAAAGTTGGGGTTTTCCTTTACACGACGTGTAGATCTTGAAAACATAAGCAATTTTTCTTAGTACCATATACACCAATGTCTTAAGGGAACCGAGATAAAGGGCTGTGCAACATCAAAAATATCTGAAAACCGTCCTGTAGCCGCGACTCGCGACATCCCCGAGTGGTACTAGGACACTAGCTCAACCCGACGACAGAACTGGGTCGGGGTCAGTGTGTCAGGTCAGTATGCAACCTTCAACCGACGGTTACGGTCACGCGTGTAGAGGTAAACGAACCCGTATAGTCGATTGCGTTTAAAAAAACAACAAGCACTAGAGACGTGGCTAGAGAAATCCAAGTATCAAAAACTAAAGTGTGGCAAACGCTGCGTGAAGAGGGGCTGTATCCGTTTCACGTCCAACGTTTACAAGCCCTTCAACCTGACGATTTTCCAGCAAGAGTGCGGTTTTGTGAGTGGTTGTTGCATCAACATGACAATAATCCGGACTTTTTGAAGTGCATATTGGTGACAGACGAATCTACGTTCACGCGTAATGGGGTGAATAACTTTCGCAACACTCATGTTTGATCAGTAGAAAATCCGCACGCTGTCCGTCGGGCACATTTTCAACAAACATTTTCGGTGAATGTTTGGGCTGGCATGGTGAACGGTATGCTCATTGGACCATTTATCCTCCCAAGTCGATTGGACGGGATGCAATACCTAGACTTTTTACGCAACATTTTGCCTTCCTTGTTAGAAGATGTACCATTAAGTGTAAGACAATCAATGTGGTTTCTGCACGATGGTCATATTTGTTACCTCTGTTCGTGGTCTGCACCACCGCCGGCGTCTGCTCGGTAACACATCAGCTGATTTCATTTTCTGTTGGAGCGGTATCATTTCGGGCAGAGACGTACTTAGCCCTTCTCGTCAACTGGAGAATGAGTACTTTTTCCTTTATTTTTTTTTACTTGGTCGCCCTTGTTTCACTACACATTACCTTTATTATTTCAAGGGTACTTGTTTCTGAAAAGGAAAAACCCAACTTTGCGGACACCTTGTAGATAGAAGGAAACGCCAATGCATAGGTGCATAGTGAGGATTTGTGTGCTAATGATATGTGTTGATGATAATTCGATTGGATTCTTGTCTGAAATATTCTTATTTGAGATTCCAAGCTAGAAATTAGCTGGCATCCACTTTTTCTTATCCATTTTGGAAATTAGGGAATTACATATGCAAATTTGCTGAATTTCAAAAATGAGAGAGATAAGAAATAATTATGTTCACTGAACACTGTCGAATTACAAGTCATATACATGCTAACGGTAGTTTTTGAAAACACAAAAAAAATAGATGATGGAATACATAAATTGAGAAAAAGGAAACGCGATGATTACAGCCAGTGATGGGCATTGTATACATCATGTATAATAAATGCAACATTAGAGATTTTTTCGCGAGATCCCGTAGTGAACGGCACGGGTATCATGTAAAAAACCTAAAAAACGTCAAAAAAAAAAACCGATAAGATATCAACTTGCATACTAGGTAGTTTTTAGGGTGCAAACAGTCGTACGACGTTTGTTCACTTGGGTCCATGTGAGCGTGATCCATCTATGAAGGAATATCTGAACGATACCAGATACTATTCTCTTCCCAAATATGTATTATTGGTTGCAGAAAGCCGAGAGAGCCACTTAGTTCATAGACCTCAATGTGAAAAACGAAAGTTTGGTTGAGTAGCAAGACCGCATCTGGAATCATCCATCATTAGCTGTGCCAGACGAGTTATTTGTGTTGTTCTTTCTGAAGAGAGGTTATGTTCAAATGTATAGTTGCGTTTTCAAAAACTTTGGGAAGAATTGAAAAAAATCACCACCGCGCTCGCGTTGTGTGTAACTCTACTGTTAGCATGTATATGACTTGTAATTCGACAGTGTACAGTGAATATAATTGCAATATGTAAATATAAAATATAAGATTCTACTTAGTTAATTCTCATCTGCAGTGATTGAATTGATTCATCTTTTGTATATTAGTCAAATGAAAGCATTTTATTGAACTCAAATTCTAGTTGTCAGTATTCAACTACCTATTGTATTAATGGAAGGAAACATTAACCGCGCATAAGAACTTCAGCACAGTTTCTGAAACTGTGGATGCCTTTTCCACTTGTCACTATTGTCTCACTTATTATTAAAACCATATATTATGATTGTTTGAACATTGTCTATATCTACTACATAACAAGACAGACAGTACATTATTTAAATAGATTTAGCTCTAATTTTGGTAGTTCTATTGAGAAAGAATGAAAATGAAATCATAACTCAGTTTTGATAGACCTCATTGATAAACAAAAAGTAAATTGGAGCATACTGGAATAAGAAGTAGATTCAGCCGAACAGCTTTATACTAAACGAAACGAATTAATTAATAAATTTTCACAGACCCCTTCTGACAAGTATTGACAAGTTTGAGATGTACTACATATAGGCCATTGGGCACATCTGGGTTAATGAAATGATGTAGTAATCGAAAACAACAAATCCATCCGGAAAATGAGATTAGTAATGGAAAGCAACAAGGATAAACGATAAGCTTTTAAATTTAAGACTTACCTGTTCTTTATAAACTATGGCAAAACCAGTAGCTAGAGGAAAAAATCTGTAAATTTTGGAACCACACTAGGCACCATTATGAGCAAACACATCACAAACTGATTGTAAGTCACAAAGTGGTCAAAAATCACAGTATATTGAAATCACATATACATATAATAGTATCACAGCTCAATCAGTAAATCAGGATTGAAAATTCAAAAACTTAAGGATTACAGATCACTGCGCTACCTAGTGCTTATAGTTGCAGCAAAGAGGAACTGAATGTATTTCTATCCGTTAGCCGCTAGATGGTAGCGTGCATCAAGACGCTTAATTCAAACCAATATTTCAATAATTCCGCTAAGCTAATTTGTAGACATAGATAGATATTTAATAGATATCTTTAATATCCATATTCCTGAATATAGTGGGTTATTTTTTTCTAATTTGCTTACAGAATTCTTGCTTAAATAAAAAATATCTTTGCTTCTAGATAATAAATGTCGTAGCTTCGGGATAGCGACAATAGAGGGCCGGTACAAAAGTAAAGCTCTTCGTCGTTAGGTACCGCATAGCATAGTAATTTTGGCGCCAAAATATTTTTTCACTGGTCTTGGAACTTTGTGTCACGGTATTTTGATTTTAATTTAATACCTAATAATTATATTTTTATGATAAAAAAATGGGTGACTATCCTGATCCAGATGAAGAATTTGAATTGATGTATGGCGATGAACTAGAGTTGCTTAATGAACAAGAACCTGATCCAGAAGGTTGGTTTGAACCTAATATATAGGTTAGAATAAAGTTTTCGCTATTAAAAAACTATAGCAAACCTATTATCTATGACAGAATAACAAAATATTTGTATAAATTTTCAGAAGTTTATGATCCACCCTCAAAAAGTAGAAAAAGCTTAGATTTTGGCCCTTCAACAAGTAGCCAGGATAGCAGTCTCATCCAAAAACAATTGCAACAAAAGTCACAAACATCTTTTGACGATGAATTCACAGCACTTGAGTCTCAAAATATACAGTCTCAAACTGTGCCAGTTCAGTCAGAGAGATCTGGTGATATTTCAATCTCTCAAGTACCTGCTAGTCAAGAAGTTAGTGTTGAGAGTCGAAAGAGGACTGTAGAAGAGCTGTTTGGCGATGTAGATGACCTAGGAGATATATTTTTTGGTAAGGACCTTCTGCCATAAACATGGTTCTAAAAAAAATAGGTTTAATATGTTTAGTGTGAATAAAATAGAAAAGCTTCATAGTGTTACATGTTGCTTATTTTATTCATTTATGAACACTTATAACCTTCACTTGTCTATTAAAACAGATGAAGATCAACCAAATTCAAAAAGACAAAAGAAAGATGAGCTCCAAGAAGATCTTGAGATGATTGAACATATCCTCCTATTGCGGAAGCTGGCAAAAGAAAGACATGAAATAGGCCTACTCAAGAAAAAACCCACCATAAGCAGCACCGACAGAGACAAGCTCAATATTTCATTCAGAGTACCAAAGTACCCATTTATCCCAGTGACTCGATTTGATAGTGAAAGGATATATGTTAGGTTTCATTCTGAGGAATTTGAGAAAGAGGAAATGGATAGACTGGTCAAGGAATGTACTTTCACTGGCGTTATGGGTGATTATTTCAAGGAAGTTTGGAAGGAAGCTAACAATATTGTGAGTATGCCTGAATATGCTATAATTTCACGTCACAGATGCAGGGCTTAACCACTATGCGCTTTAGGCCCCAGATAAATAAATAACTCTTGTGACCTAAATCAACTCTGATATCACCAAATTTTTTGCAGATCAACAAAAATATTGATGGGCCCCAACAAACCTCTGACTCACAAAGTGATGTCTCTATAATAGACCCAGTTGATGATTCGAAACAGCTTTGGGTGGAACTCTACAAACCGAAAAGGTACATAGAACTACTAAGCGATGAAAGTACTAACAGGATCATGTTGAGATGGATCAAGCTGTGGGACAAGGTGGTTTTCAACAGGAGGCCGAAAATAAAGACTAATAAGTCTGATGAGAAAAAGAGATTTTTCAGGATGCCGGAGCTCAATACTGAGCTTGATGAGGATGGTAGACCACATCAGAAGGTTGCCTTGCTCTGTGGGCCTCCTGGATTAGGTGAGAATAAGATTTTTGTAGAATTTTGATATTTATTTATGTATCTAGAGCGTTAAGTGGCGTTTATGGCTCGCGGAAGGGATTAAGAGCCAAAGGTGCGGAAAACCCTTGAGCTACTGTGATCTGGATGAAGCTTGGATTTTTAGGTAGAATAACAAATGGCTCAAGTAGATTGACCCTGTTCTTTCCTAAGCAATGCTGTCATCAATTCATATCAGATTATGTTCAGCACCAGGTAGTCCCTCTTAGAAAAACATTTGGCTAAAAACAAGTATAATGAAGGAATGGAATGGATCATTCAATCGATCTGTAGTTCAGCAATGCGATCTAGTTTACCGCCCGACCAACAGAATCGACCATTCGACAACGTCGAAATCTAAAGCAGAAAGGCGCGCGGTCGTTGAGAGGTCCGGCATCCGTAGATCAAAGATATATATATATATATATATATATATAATTCAGCTTTCAAGGGCATGTGCACATATGTCTAATACGCGCGGAGAATTACTTTTGGGTTGGAAACGTATAAATTGCTAGCACCAAAAAAATGACATCCTCTTCCCCACCGCTAAAACCGCAAATATCCAATTTTTATCCCCAGCAAAGTCTTTGAAACGTCAAAAAACGAAGTTTGTGTGATTTCTATTTTTGTCGTGCTTTTGTCCCTAGCTCTGCCGCCACTGGATCGATTTTCAAAATCGTCAAAGCCTTTTGTCCATGTCAAAGTAGCAACCTTGCGTGAAAATTTTATCCAAACCCGAGCAGTAATTTCCAAGTTATAGATAGTTCAAAGATTAGCAGACAAACCGACCGACGTAAATGAGTGACATTGAGATGAAATTTTCCGCGATTATAATACTTCCTCATCCATTGGCGTAGGAAGTAAAAATGAAGTGGTCGTGATAGGGATGCAGGGATGCTTTCATCTCCAATAAATTTATTAATGGTTTCTTTTGAATGGGCCTTTGAGAGTATTGTGCTTGATTTGCTGGGATCCGTGGCTGAAAAAAGGTTATGAAACGCTGGTCTAAATCAGACTCTGAACCTGACACTCCATGCCTTAGTGCAGCGTATTGCGGATCAGCTCGGCTTGTAACAGCTACTTGTTCTTTATTTCAGGTAAAACGACATTGGCCCACATGGTAGCTCGCCACGCGGGTTACAACGTGGTCGAAATTAACGCTTCCGATGACAGAAGCACTGACGCTTTCAAAACTGCTCTTGAAAATGCTACACAAATGCGCTCTGTAGTTGACAGGGAAGGGAGGCCAAACTGCCTGGTCTTCGACGAGATCGACGGAGCTCCACAGGCTTCCATTGATTTTTTGGTCAAGTTCATTTCCGGCCAAATCACCACCAAGGCCAAGAAAGGGAAGGAGAAGAAGCAGACCGTGTTGAAGAGGCCAATCATCTGCATTTGCAATGACGTGTACGTTCCAGCTTTGAGGCCGTTGAGGCAAATCGCTTTTGTGGTGAATTTCCCGCCAATATCGAGCACAAGGTAATAATTGATTATTTTGCGTTAGGTATTTTTTTTTGAGGGGGGATATCAACACCTTCAATGTAATAGGTTGTGCTTTATACACGTACGGCTGGTCTGTGCGAGCGCTCCTTTTCAATTCTAGGAGTTCGAGAACGCGGTATGTTACATAGATTTGTGTTTCTTCAAGGTGTTAAAATTCGAGAAGGTTAGATACAGAGGTAACACATGAATAATAAATTCCTAAATCGGCTCGGCAGCCTAGTAACGAGAAAGGATAACACTTGCTTTCAGAAAACTTTTTTTTTACCCGTTCCGATCTTGCAAATAAAGTATTTGAATTCCCAATTTTCTTTGTATCGCTCAAGTCACTAAGCAGTTAAATCTGCTTAAGGTGAGGATGTGACAACGTGCTGTATGGAGCCAACATATTTATAGCCCAGTCAAACTATCAACTTTTCTCTATGCCAGCATCAAAACAAGCTTCCAACTCATTGCATTCAACACAACTGTGTATTTTTACTTATTAGACCTTTCTAGATTCGCGCTTTAACCAAATGTATGATGTTTAAAGTAAACTAGTGTTCGTCATTATTTAAAGATGTATCATAAAATCGCCATGCTATAAGTGTGTCGTACAGTGAAGACCGAAAATATGTAAGTAGAGATAATAAATGTCGACGCCTATACTATGAAACGGCTTTAAAAATCGTCTTGAAAACCACTTATTTTTTCATTTGATTCAACTTTCAATAATTTTTAAAAATCATTTTGAGTATTTGAGATTTTTTTGGGCTATCTACGTAATCTTTGTTGTAGATTGGCAGAAAGACTGATGGAAATAGCTAGACGAGAGCAGATCAAAACAGACTTGGGCGCCATGATAGCATTATCAGAAAAGAGTAACAACGATATCAGGTCATGCCTGTCCATTCTGCATTTCTTCAAAGTCCAGAACAGGCCTGTCACACTCACCGATATTTATAAAATCAACGTTGGACAAAAGGATGTCCAAAAAGGTAAGAAACTAGTTTATATATCTCTATATATACATCTTATCTTTATTGGAAACATGGGTTCGGCCACTGGACAGAAACCAGTGACTCTTACCTAATCCTATGCTCTATACAAGCGTTTACATATAACATTTCCATCGTGACAGTCATGTTGTCCATTAGAATCGCAGCAATTCCCTTGGATGAAATAAAAACAGGCTCTATTAGCTTGTTTAAGATAATAATTTGTTCTTAAACATGACATCAAGCTTCCAAGGAAGGATCCTAACTCATTATTCCTAATATTTTGAAAAGGAAATCCCATAATCTGTGGCAACACTGGCGCGTAAAGGCACTGCTTTTCATTTAATTTGTCACCTATCCCACTGCTAAATCGGTACTACCCTTATCCATCTCTTCCAGATCTTTTTTCCGTGTGGCAAGACATCTTCACCATCGAAAAGCCCAATTTCAAGGCTACCATGCAACCTTCAGGCCCTCTCTGTACTACGGTCAAAGCCCGAATGGCCAAAGTCCTTGAAAGCGTTACTGCCTTTGGTGACTACGACAAGCTGGCTCAAGGCATCTACGAGAACTTCATCGCGATCAAAGTGAAAGATTCTTCTAACGACGCGGTCAGCACTGCCTTGGATTGGTTTGTGCTGATGGATCTGCTCAACAAGCAGATTTACACGTTGCAAATTTACGATTTGGGTGCTTATTTGCCGTACGCGTTTGTGGTGTGGCATTTGCTGTTTGCTACGGTGCAGAGGCAGAAGTTGAACATGCCCAGTGCTGGTTACGAGGTAAGTGGTTATTTGATTTTCGATGTATTTCAATCTACGCTTATTTTAATTCAAACTATTGACTAGCGTATTCTACCTGAAGATGGCCAACCACGTACTGTATTTTGACGTCCCAAAAATTTTCTGAGATGATTAATTATTATTATTGTTATTATTAAATAAGAACATCATCTATGAAAATTTTCCTCTACTACTTTACCTGTGGCATCAAGTATGTTGACTCTGCAGTCTCCACGCAACGTGGTCATCAATTCATAAACGATTAGTTCGTTAGTCCCTCCAAACTAGCTAAAATATGCATAACAAAAAAATTGAATGATTAAGTCAGCCAAACCGGCCGATTGAATTAGTCCATACTCCATACCCATTTGACAATGCTGTGCCTCAAAATGCAGTGTTAGATTTCTTTTAATAACCTGAGTATATTTTCTATTTTTTAATTTGTTCGTGTTTATTGAGAAATGGTTGTAACGCGTAGCTGTGTGTTCCGGCTTTAACAACACACCTAATGTGTCCGGGCTTTTGGTTTTATAATTGTAACAAATATTCACATCCACGTTTTAGTTTTAAAGCACCATTTAGCTGCAACCTAACCGACGAGCAAGTGCTTAAAAAATTTAAATCTGTTCTAAATTGGTTGCTATTTTTATAATTGTGTTTTAGCTCCTGAAGATGACAACATAATTTGTCGAAAGCTCGAGAATACCGTCAAAAGAGTTCACTACGCTTTAAGTTTTGCCAATTCCCAATACACAATTTAATTGTATTTTTTGCCCAACTGGTATTTGGCAGTGGCAATGACTACTGCTCGCATATATATATATATATATATATATATAATAAGGGCAAATGTATTGGGAGATTTGTGATGTGCACAATATGAATTGATATTAAAATTAATGGGGTTTGAGGTGTATCAATATACTGCTGAAAAAAAATGATATATATCTTACTACACGTCTACAACCCCCAACCACGATTTTCAATTTTTTTTTGGAAAATGATCTCGAGCCTCTGAAACATAAAAAAAAGTATTATTATTTTTTTTCGTTTTTTTGCCTCTAGCTCCGCCACCACTGGACCGAATTCGAACCCTGCAAACCTTTTGTGTCCTTGGCATAATAGTAACGCTTTGTGAACATTTCATCGAAATCCGAGCGGTATTTGTCGAGTTATAGGCGGTTATATTTGTATTAGCGGGCAGACCGACAGAGACAATATCTCATTTTCGAAAATTTTTGCGACTATAATACTTCCCTGCTAGTAGGTGTGGGAAGTAAAAAGTGTGTTGTACTTGGGGTCCGTTTATGTTTTTCAAGTGTACTTTTCACGCTGAATACGCATCAAGAGTCAAAATTTGAAATTGGTGGATTCCTTTTTGGGGAAACGCATAAAAATGATCCACAGGTCCACAAAAAATAAAAATGGGGTCTTACTATATTTTTATGGCGTTATTACATTTCGTGGTTTTTTGAAAACCATTTTAGAATTTTGCTCTCTAAGTTAAACAGGTGTACCAAGTTTTATTCACTTGTGACAGTGGCGGGCATAAATGGAAAAATTGTCTTGGAAAGTCCTGTAATATTTTTTAGGTTTCCTAAAGGTGAATATTTTCGAATATCCCTGCATGTCTTTGAACTTCACAAAAAATCCTGTTCTGGATGCGTAGATTGCGAATTCGACGTAAGTCTTGCGATAAGACCCAGGAGAGGTCTAAAATGATCCATTTTCCCTCAAATTTGACTTCTCCGGATTCCACGATTTTTTGACAGTGGCATTCTAATCCAAAGCTTCAAACTATCTAACTGTCAGTCACGTGTAACAACGGATAGCAAAAATTGAAATTCGTTCTACGAATTCCTAAAAAACTGTCCAACGAAAAAATTTTTAAAAACCCCGGCGTATCTGTGATCTTCACAAAAACTCGTAAATCGGGTGGGTAGATTCTGAAATCATCGTCTTCTACAAAAACCGCCTATAGGTAACCCGCACGTAAAGCTAGAAGCACTGAGTTCACTATACACAAGAGATCCCAGCGACACATTTTTTACCCCAAATTAGACCTAATCACATTTCAAAGTTTATTGAAAACCATTTACAATTTTTTCGACCCAAATTACCAGGGTGTACCAAGTTTTATTTACTTATAACAATAGATGGCTGTAATACTTGTTAGGTTTTCTATGAGAATATTTTCAAAAATCTCTGCATATCTTTGATCTTTAGAAGAACCCGTTTTCTAGGTATATTGAGCGCGAGATCAACGTCAATTTTACGCTAACATCCAGGAGGGGTCCAAAATTACCCATTTTGTCCTCAAATTTGACTTCACCGCATTTCACTATTTTTTGACAGTAGATTGTAGATAGTTTTAGTGATTTGTAATAACGGGCAGCAGAAAAATGAAAATTTGTCTTATAAAAACTATATAACTATAAAACTGTCCAATGAGATAATTTTTAAAAATCATATCGTATCTGTGATCTCCACAAAAACTCCTTTGCTGGTGTGCGTAGATTCTGAATCGATCCTCCCTTTGGCGCTAGAACCTGCGGAGACCTGGAAACGACCCATTTCCTACCGGAAGTTTGGCTCTACCAGTACTCGTTTTCTACCTCAAATTCGACGTGAAGATTATTTAATATTAGTCACCATATTGTAACGCCCTCGTACCTGGAACTCTGAGCAATAATGAGACACCCTCGTAACAACGACGGTTAGGCTACCAGAATTGCGCGATCGACCGTTACCTAGCAAGCTTCGATGAAGGCTCGGGTTCTGCCTGAAAGGCTGCTGTATTCGTCCACTCAAAAGCGAATTACTGAACGATACTGCTCTTTTTTCATCTTAGCGAAAATCACGAAACATGTGTTACTCGAATGGCTGCCAAATCTAAACTATCAAACAGTCTAAAATTGTTTGTGCCATCGTCTGATAGATGACAGCACACTGTGATAACATTAACTTCCCTCAGGAACGCCCTCTGTCGTCAAACACGGGTACTTATTGAACCACCCTCGTATTCGTCAGATTTCAGCTTTGGGTACCCGCCCAACCAACTTGTAGATACTTTTTCTTATTTCTAATTTATACGACACCTTAACGCGAAAACTTCAAAATACTTAAATGTCGACTGACTTGATATTATTTTGTGTTCGTTGAAATTAAAACGAATGAATTTTGTGCCAAAACTTTTAGGACATTCGTTACTTGTGATCCTGTGTAGCTTGTTTCGCAAAACGTCCATCCAATTAACCTGGCGGAACATCAGCAACACACACCATTATCGCGTACAGTCACAAATAGGCATCTACTCAGCAACTTCAAAGTTCCTTGACGAGAGAGAAGAGGTCGCGTTACAAAGCGTCAGCAACCCATTTTGTAGCTTCTAATGAGGTTTTGAATAATGCACGCGACCCATTCTTCCGCTTAAAAAAATATCATCCAATAGTGCCCGGGTAATTGACGCTGCTATGCGCTTAGCCTCAGATGATTAAAAAATCTTACACAGAACTCGGACGAGGTCCCAGTACGGGCGGTTATGTGTATGAGAAATTATAGTTTATTCTTATTCTTTATTGAACACTTAGATACACAACAGTACGTGTGGTAAAAAATATATATAAATAATCTATATAATATAAATAAAATGTATAATATAAATAAAAATCAATATAACAATACATACGTTCAATTCCATCTTTACTTACTCGAGGTTGCGCATTCCGTATAATCAGTTGTGTCATAAAATTCAGTGAATGTTAATAATTTTTTCAGTTGATTGTTAAATCGAAAATAATTACTGATTTGCCGGTAATTTATCGCATAATTTAATGCAGTTATAGTAGGGTCATTTTATACTGGTACTGGTAATAAATGTATTTTACAGATCCCAATTTTGCTTTGCACTTAGTCCCCTTCAGCCGAAACGCTGGCTACGCAAATAAAGGCAGGAAACTAAATCAAACGATTTTGGGAAATTTCGTTTTTTTTTTCATCTTTCCCCGGAATTACTTTGAATTTTGAAACTTTCTAAACGGCATTTTGTTAATTACCTGAATTCGCAACTATGTCCCCCTCCACTTAAGCCACTTCGTATCTCTTACAGTTTACGAGATCCCAAAGGTGAGGGTCGAATTTGAAACACCCTGTAAAGGGTGGCCCATCCATATGTGAACGGAATATTACTCATAAACACATACATTTTGGGGAAATCTATTTATGGGATGTTATACATGACATTCGAAGGTACATTTCTAAAATATTGGCCATCATACAGGGTGTTCCAATTTCGACCTACATATCAAAGTTGTGAATTTTCAAAGGAGTGCCTCAAATTTTGTTGCATATTTGGATAAACCAATTCAAAAGAAGAAAATTGATATGACATACTAAGGTGTTAAGCGTAATGGAGAAAAACAACTATAACAACAACATAAACAAACAACTATCACTACTCAAGACCTAATCTACAAAAACTGCTCGAAAATATCTCCACCATGTTGAATACACTGCCGTAGTCTTTGGATAAATGACCGTCACATCACTCAGCAAGTGTTCCCTTATGTTCAGAAAATCATCCTTATTAATCCTTTCCTTCATATTTTCCGGGGTAGATGGTGGATATCTATACACCTCTTGATTAACGTAGCCCTATAGAAAGAAGTCAATCGCTGTCATATTTTGACCACCTTGTATAAGCAAAAATTGAAATTCGAAAAAGTAACAAATAAGATTAAAGCTGAGGTGTGCACGTTTTTTTTTTTGATACAAGATTCAGCACTCCAAATTTCAAAATGGCGGACTGAGCAGTTGCCGAAGCGGGGGGTTTTTCTAGACAAAATCCTTATATCTCAGTAGCTAATTACTAAAACCCCATTGTATGATATATCAATTTTCTTCTTTTGAATTGGTTTATCCAAATATGCAATAAAATTTGAAGCATCCTATTTGAAAAATCACAGCTTTGATATGTAGGTCGAAATTGGAACACCCTGTATACTGGCGAATATTTTAGAAATGTGCCCTAAAATG